CGTGGGACCAAGCGTGGGCAAACAGAGCGAGCCTCCTCCCCATTGCCCCGTCAATGGGGCGAACCGCGAAAGGGCCGAAGCCCCTTACGAGAAATCAAGCACCGAACAGAGTGATCGCCGCACCGACCAGACGACGCCGGCACCGAAGGCAACGTCTGCTCAGAAACTGGCACCAATGACCCATCTCAACTACCGGAACCCCGAACCCTGGCACGACCCCTCCTAGACGGCCTAGAGTGACTGCCCCAGAGAAAACCAACAAGTTCGACAGCGGATGACAACTAGACGAAGCCGCTTGCAGAAACTGCGAGACTGCTGCCTCTGCAAATAGCAATGGACAAAATGGAGACGAAAACCTAAGAGCCAAGGCCCAAGTAGATTTCAAAGACAGGGCGAGCACAGCCTGATGGCACTCGAGGCGAGAAGCAAAAAACAGAAACACCGCCTCCTTCAGGATAGGCGCAAAGAGCTTCAATGGCATAGCCAAGGCCTTAGCTGCCAAAGTCAGCGCCCCAGACGAATGACCGGCACTCAACGCCTCCACATCCTCCTCAAGCCAGGCAGCAGACAGCTCGAAAAGGGAAAAGATACGCAAGACCGAAGCCAAACGCCCACGGGCACGCAAATCCACCGCAACCAACGATGCTGAAATAGAAGGACCCTGCACGGTAAGCTGCAAAAGGCCAACATCCCAAGAAAGTACGGAGGTGAACAAGCACACATTAAGGTGCTTAAACTCGCCCCTTCCCCCTGGTAAACCTGCAGAACGATAGAAGTTTCCTGCCAATCAAGCGTGCAGGTCCGACAGAACCCATGACACGCCCACCAACGAGAAGAATGGGCAGTCTGCCAGCGAGGAACACGCCGGAACCTCCAAACACACCTAAAACTGGGAAGAAGAACCGAACTCAAAAGAGGACGGATCCACGACAGAGGCAGAAACCGGGTCTCACAGGAGGTAAGCAGCAAGAGCCTCCCGAACCTCCTTCGTGGAGATACAAGAAGTAGAAAACCTCCGGAAAGATGGGGCCGGGGTACCCAAAGGGGCCCAGTACTGAACCCAGGGAGGAGCCGAATCCAAATCATACTCATACAGGGAAGGGGGTAAGAAAACCCCTCCCCCCTGCAACAATAAGACCAGCGAGGACGGCAAAAGTACCCAAGCGGGGTCAAAGAGGGCCTAAGGCCCCCCAGGTCGACTCCTCCCCAGCCCTGAGATCCCCCAAGTCAGGACCCGGGGCAGAGCCATCCTCCATACCCTCTACCCCTGAAGAAAAGGAAGAGTCCAGGGGAATGGCAGACAAGAGGGGGGGGGGGTCTGCTGGTGGGACCCAGAAGCCTCGTCAGGAGGAACCAGCTCAAATGCCTCCGTCCCTGACCCAGATGGAGCAGCCCCCGAGGCGGCACGAGTCTCATTACCAACTAAACCCTGTGCCGGATCCAAAACCCTCAGACGTTTAGAAGCCGGACACAGGGGGAAAGGTGCAGGATGAACAACAGGGGAAGGACCAGGGAGCGCAGACAGAACCAAAGACAAACCGACTAACACACCCAGGTCCGGGTCCCTAAAACAAAAGCTGAGCAGCTGCGGGGCATCCAGATGGGAAACCAACCTAGCACGTTGCAGTAACCTAAATCTAACATGCAATGCGCATGCTGAAAGTACCTTAACCCTTAAATGGCGCACGGCTGTATACCATTTGACACCCACAGGCGCATAAAAAAAAAAAAAAATTCTTCCTAACCTGTTAATTTGTGTTCATTGATCATGGAAAAATAATAAAAAAATCGTAAGTGGCATATATTGCCCGCTATAGGGCGGGGAAGTCTGGCAAAAAATAGGCGCTGACTCAGCATGCGTCCCAGGCGGTCTGTTGATCGCCAGCTGTCAGGCTGGAGTTCCCACAAAGAGATAATTACCTAATTATTTCAATGTCTCCGATTGATTTTTCGTAGTTTTTTTTGCTGTAATATTATTCAATAGTGTGTAGTGTGATATATTTATATAATAAAATGAGTGAATCATCGCTGTACTCAAAAATATGGTGTGCATATTGTTGATTCAATTATGTTTATCAAACAGTGAACAAATACTTTCTTGGTTATTACACTATATACACAGGTTATATATAAGTATCTGCATGTTTTGTTCACCATAACGAACCACTAAGTTGCTATTATAAGTAAAAAAGTAACGAGGAGTGACCGCCGTGTACCAGCCAGCCACTCACGCCCTCCCTCAAGTCACCTGACTCACCCACATTCTCCTCCCACAATACTGTTTTTGCTTTTATTCACTATATACAGACACAATATATAAGTATCTACATTCGTGTTCACCATAACGAACCACTAAGTTGGTATGCTGAATGGCAGTGGCAGCCAGTGGCTCGAGCCGGTCTAAAAAACAACTAAAAAAACTAAAAAACAAAAACAAATGTGAAATCTTGCAGATTACTTATTGATTCAAGTTACTGGACTGTGAATTACTGAGCTCTTACTGTGATAACAACAAGGGTGCAAGAATGTAAAACATAATGGATAAAAGGTAGCATGCACTCAACAATTCCACAAGTATATTTAGTTGTGTATGACGAGGAATATTTTTGTATAATAATGTCATCATGCGTCTACATCCTCCCAGCGAGCAAAAGAAATATTAACGGAACAACCGTGGACATCTTCAAGAGAAAACTAGATCATTTTCTCCAAGGAGTGCCGGACCAACCGGGCTGTGGTGGGTATGTGGGCCTATGTGCCACTGCAAGCAACAGCCTAGTGGATCAAACTCTCACAATTCATGCCTTGAGATTATCTTGAGGTTATCCTGAGATGATTTCGGGGCTTTAGTGTCCCCGCGGCCCGGTCCTCGACCAGGCCTCCACCCCCAGGAAGCAGCCCGTGACAGCTGACTAACACCCAGGTGCCTATTTTACTGCTAGGTAACAGGGGCATAGGGTGAAAGAAACTCTGCCCATTGTTTCTCGCCGGCGCCCGGGATCGAACCCGGGACCACAGGATCACAAGTCCAGCGTGCTGTCCGTTCGGCCGACCGGCTCGAAGCCTTGGGCCAGGCTTGGGGAGTAGAAAAACTCCCAGAACCCCATCAACCAGGTATGAACCAAGTACTGTATAGGGGTTTGTTTTGGGATGCTTACCTTTCTGGGTGCCGACCAGGTTGATGGCAGACATAAAATGTTTCTAAACACACGGGGGTTTCTATAGGCCATTGTTCCTCGTGCCTCTTTGAGGGCCAGGATCTGGCTCGTGGTCCTTGGTAGGCCCACAGAACTCCATACACATGACAGATGCCAAAGTATGACATTGGCATATCAGCCTGGATAGCTACAGGGAGCCAACAGAGCTCGCCCCAGAAACAATTATTTTAGAAATTATTTATTAATTTTATTATTTCGAGGCCGTAGATCACTGAACTGTGGCGATGAAATCAAAAGAAACGTGCATGGTGCCGTGTAAACATGGATTAGACTTGTCCACTCGCGCTTGAGTTGTGCCAATAACATAAATAATTTTTCAAATCGCAGATGTCTATTATATTACAGTATATTTCTGGAGGGAGCCCCTTCGGCTCCCCGGAGCTATCCAGGCTGATATGCTTATGTCAGACTTTGGCATGCTGGGTTCGGGTTCCTGGTGAACTGGAGGAAGTTCCATCTGGTTCCCTCCCAGGTTCGTACCTGGCTGGGTCTTGTGTGGGACTCTCGGGCCGCTTCCTTGTCTCTTCCTCCAGTCTCTCTCCTTCGGCTGCGGTTCGCATGCGCTTGTTTCTGGTGGGCTCCCAGGTCACCTGGCGGTTGTTTGAGGGTCTGTGCGGGAGCCTGAACTTTGCGATGATGGTCTACCTGCCGCATCAGGTTTGGCTTCATCGGCTGTTCTGGTTCCTTCGGAGACGTCCCTTCCGCCTCTCTCACGATCGCTGAGTTTCGGCCCCCGAGGGCCTTGCATCAGCTGCTGCGTCTCTGGCTTCTTCTATGGGTTCTTCGGGGTTCAGTGCCTTGGCGCCTGCCCGAGCCCTCACTCGATGTGCTCACAGATGCGTCATCTCTTGGCTGGGGCTTTGTAACTAGTGCTCACCAGGCCGGCCAGGGGCGATGGGGTACGTCCTATCGTCGGGCCCACAGCACGGTGCGGGAGATCACAGTGGTGTGGTTTGTTCTTCGGAGAATTTGGGTCATCCGTGGATCGACAATCAGGCTCAATTCGGACTGTTCCCCAGTGGTTCATTGCCTGAACTGAGGGGGTTCTCCTGGCGGTTCACATCCAGGGGTGTCCAACATCCTGGCAGAGGGCCTGTTTCGTTTCGTTCTTCTGTCCAGGGAATGAACGGTCGATACCGACTTGTTCCGTTGGCTTTGCCAAACGTTCGGGTGTCCCGAGGTGGACCTCTTCCTGTCAGCGTGGTCGTGCACCTTCTGCTGTATGTAGCGCCCTTCCCCAACTGCGAGGCCATCAGGGTCGATACCTTTCGGCAGGACTGGTCGAGGTGGGGGTTCCTGTACCTATTTCCCCCAGTTCAGCTGCTGCTCCAGGTCCTGACTCGCTTGGAGACTTACCAGGGAAGAGTAATCCTCTTGGCCCGGTGGTGCCCGGCTCAGACGTGGTTTCAGGAGCTGCTTGCTTGGTGTCCAAACCCGGAGGTTTCCCGCTGCTCTGCTTCTTACAGCAGACCGGACTTGTGTGTCACGTGGCTGATTTGTGGTATAAATGGTATAAATCTGTGGTATAAATCTCCCAAAGCCTAAGGATGGAAGGGAGAAAGGGATGGAGAGACCCTGGAGAGAGACCTCAGACCCCCACCCATTGAATCTCAGTTCCTGGAAACATACCACAAAAACTGGGCCACATGAGTAAAGATAGGCCACCTTCAGAATCTGGATCCAAAGTATTACCGTCATTTATCCTGGACCTTTGAATGAAGTGATTTTCTAAAATCTAAATGCCACTCTGTATTCAAACTATAATTACAATTATTTACTGACCCTGTTGACACGGTGAAGATTGACTGTCAGAGTATACTCTTGATCTGCGTGAACTTCAATCCAGTCGCTAGCATTCCGTTTCTCTGCTATGGAGGGCAAAAACAAGAAATTGATAAAACTTATCTCTAAAACAATTTCTATATACATAAAACCAGCGTTGAATGTAATGAAACGCCATTTTCTGGGTGAGCCCCGGAGGCTCCCTGGAGCTTATCGGGCAAATGTATGTTATATTAGACTGGGACATTAGCTAAGGAGTTCAGACCTACCAGGGACCAGTGCCAGAACCTGGCCCCTTCAGAGAGGTTTCAGGGAGCAATGGCCCTGGAAAACCCCCTTGTGGTTGGGGTTTTCCTTATCTGCCATCTACCGGGGTTAGCACCAAAAAAGGTAGGCATAACAAAACAAACCCCACATGATAAAAAACGTAAATAAAAAAACGAACAGAGAGGTCGAAACTCCCTACAATCCCAAGGAAACAAGCAAACAAGCAAACATCACACTTTACTGCCGCGCCGATCATCCGCGCAGCCATCCCTGCCCCGAGAGGGGGAGGGGGGAACCCCGGACCTACCCCGCCGGCTGCCTAGCTTCAGTTCGGAAGCTAAGCTTCAACCAACGCGAAAAAAACACCGACCGGTGGGAGGGAGGGTTGCCAGGGAACCTCCGGGGCTCGCCCAGAAAATGGCGTTTCATTACATTCAACGCTGGTTTTCTGTGGGAAGCTCCTATGACTCCTTGGAGCTTCAGACTCAAAGAGAAGGAAAAGAAAGGGCTGACCCGGGAGGCGGCCGCCACAAACTCTGCAACTTGAAGCTGAGACAACAGGCTGCAACATGCGACCCAAGGCAACAAGAACGCACAGGAGCAGACACGCATAACGAATGGGCGGCCAAGAACCTGTGCGACCCTCAAATCCCTGCGCCCGAAATGAACCCTAGACGTCACCAACACAGCAGCAAAAGCTGCAAACGTCCGAACAGCACGGGCACAAGGACAAACCGCAGGCTGGAAAACTTAAAAACTCTGCGGACGACCTGGTAGACCCGAGCCCTGAAACAGGGAATGAGGAGAACCGGATCAACCCAAAGCGCATCCCCCAGACACGGTACACAGGTAGCGGCAAAAAGCGCAACCGGACAACACAGGACGCACCCTGGCCGAACCAATCAAGCATCAATAACCCAAGAACCCCTCTGGAAAGTAGCCGTCTCGACCGTCGCCAAAGAGGACGGAGAAAGGTTGCAAACATACAAACCTACCACCAGTACCAAAGAGCAGAAACCTGAACTGAAGGGGCTACCACAAACTGAGGAGAAGGTAAGAAGGTACCCTGATCAAGGACCTGGATGGCTCAGGCGACACATGAGAAGGCCGGAGGTGAAACAAAACACGAGAAAGCGTATGAAACGGGGCAGATGTGACGTCCACCCCGAACGCAAGCCGGAGCGGCTCTGCGAGCCCACACCAGCCAGTAGTCGAGGTAGGCCAGACACAGAATCCCAAGCAGACTCAGACAGGGCACCAAGATCCGGTAAAGATGCGTAAATACACCAAGTGCCAATTACAAAATAGGGAAGGCAACAAAAACGGTAAGCCTGAAGCCCCACCACCAACTGTACCAGTCCCGGAAAACTGGAGAGGAATGAGCCAAGAATTGACCTGGAGGTCCAGGGCCACCATCCAGGCACCCGGCCCCAACAGAAGCTGGATAGGAGACAACAGTCCTAAAATGAGGGCATAGAATCCAGGGCGCAGATTGAAGAAGTTCAGAAGAACCCCAGATTCGACAGGCCCATGTCTGCATAGAGCAGACGGGAACCCCAGAAGGATGGGGCGGATCGACCAAGTTGAATGCACCCACTAAGATGACATGACGAAGTGCAGGGGAAGAAGCCCACCCCGCCAGCCCTGAACCCCCTAAAAGGGGGAGAAGCCATCCACCGCCGCCACCAGAGGCCGGAAGACAACCAAAAGCACGCACTAACTGCAGGACCATGTGAGAGTCAGCAGAGCAAGCTGCTCCCCCAGCGCCCCGTCAACAGAGAAGGAAACAGCCCCTTCCGAAAGAAAAAGTATACATACACATATACACACATATACATATATATTAGGCATATACACAGGGTATGTTACACACACATGCGTATGTACATACACACATGCAAACACACACACAGTGTACACATGCACATGCACATGTGTACATGTACATGCACATCGTGTACATACACGTGAAAAGAAAATTACAAGCCGCCGACCAGTGGGCAGAGAGCACCACGCTGGCCAGGCGAAGATGGCACAAAACTGCATCAAAAAGCCCACCTCGACAACAACACCCCAAAGTCCCAGCACGACCACAACATGTGCCAAGACCCAAAAGGATCAGTCTGCAAGCTAGGAAGACCCCCGAATCCCAAAAGCCAGAACCGGGTCACACACAAGGCAACAAAGCTCCCTGAACCCACAAAGGGGGCCCAAGAGGAAGAAACCTCTGGAATGAAACCAAAGAACCCAAAGGAACCCGGAATCGAACCAGGGGGAGCCCAGATCACCACATTTGCCGGCGGAGATACACCACAGAAAGGCAAAGCACAGCCCCCAGACAGAACCCCCAGGGAAACGGTCAAAACAGACTGAAAACCGAGGAAAAAGGTGTGGGAGCAAGGGACAGACAGACAGACAGTGTCCCTGTCTGTGAATAACAGACAGGGACACTGAGCCCAAATCCAAGGGCCCAGACCCAAAACAGACAAAAACGGAAAACCCAGTGCAAACAAAAAACCAGCGTTGAATGTAATGAAACGCCATTTTCTGGGTGAGCCCCGGAGGCTCCCTGGAGCTTATCGGGCTAATGTGTGTTATGTTAGACCGGGACATTAGCTAAGGAGTTCAGACCTACCAGGGACCAGCGCCAGAACCTGGCCCCTTCAGAGAGGTTTCAGGGAGCAATGGCCCTGGAAAACCCCATATGGTTGGGGGTTTTCCTTATCTGCCATCGACCGGGGTTAGGCACCCAGAAAGGTAGGCGTAACAAAACAAACCCCACATGGTAAGAAACTACAACAAAAACCGAACAGAGAGGTAGAAAACTCCCTACAATCCCAAGGAAACAAGCAAACAAGCAAACATCACACTTTACTGCCGCGCCGATCGTCCGCGCAGCCCTCCCCACCCCGGGAGGGGGAGGGGGGAGCCCCGGACCTACCGCGCCGGCTGCCAAGCTCCAGTTCGGAAGCTAAGCTTCAACCAACGCGAAAAAACCGCCGACCGGTGGGAGGGAGGGTTTCCAGGGAGCCTCCGGGGCTCACCCAGAAAATGGCGTTTCATTACATTCAACGCTGGTTTTCTGTGGGGAGCCCCTACGGCTCCCTGGAGCTTCATACCCAAAGAGAAGGAAAAGAAAGGGCTAACCCGGGAGGCGGCCGCCACAAACTCTGCAACGCAAAGCCAAGACAACCGGTCGCAAACCTGCGACCCAAGGCAACAAGAACGCCCAAGAACAGACGCACATATGGATGGGCGGCCAAAAACCTGTGCGACCCACAATTCCCTGCGCCCGAAATGAGCCCGAGACGTCACCAACACAGCAGCAATTGCTGCAAACGTCTGAACAGCACGGGCGCAAAGACAGACCGCAGTAAGAAGGAAAACACTGCGGACGACCCGGGAGACCCGAGCCCTGAAAACAGGGAACGAAGGAACCGGATCAACCACAGCGCATCCCCAGGCACGGTACGCCGGCAACAGCAAAAAGCACAACTGGACAACACAGGACGCACCCCCCGGCCAAACCAAACAAGTACCAATACCCCAAGAACCCCTCCGGAAAGCAGCCGTCTCGACCGTCGCCAGGACAGAGAAAGGCTGCACACCAATAAAGCTACCACCAGTACCAAAGAGGAGGAAACTGAAACCGAAGGGGCTACCACAAACTGAGGGGAAGAGAAGAAGGCACCCTGAACAAGGACCAGGATGGCTCAGGCGACTCATGAGCAGGCCGGAGGGGAAACAAAACGCGAGAAGACGTAATAAACGTCATACAGTCTCCAAGACGAAGCTCGCAGGTGGGACACCGTCAACAAAGCCACCTGAACACCATAGAGATGGCGATACCTGCGTCAAAATACCAGACGCGAAGAGCCAAAGAGAAGGCCGAACCAGTCACGGACAGGACCGATTCGGCCTGCTGAAAGAGGCGAAGCCTCAGGAAAAACGCCCCGGGTACGGACACCTATCAAGCAGCGTCTGAAAAGAAGGCCGGGCCGGCCACAGTGGAACCATAAGGACTGTTCTCGTGGGAATGGGCTGCAACTGAGCCAGAACCCGAAGCAACAGCTGGACCGGGAGAAGAGGTACAGGTACCCCCCACCTCGACCAGGCCTGCCGAAAGCCTCCACCGTGAAGTCCTCGCAGGTGGGAAGGGCGCCACAAAACGGGCGACGCCTAGACCACGCCGACCCGAAGACGTCCATGGCCAGGAGTCCATAAGCCCAACAGAGCCAACAAAACGAATCGGCGACGACTGGCCAACCCACGAAGAGGAATGAACCGAGACAGCTGTCCACCAGGACGCAGGACACACCCCGGACACGAACCACACGGTTAACCAAACCCCCTGTGGTTCCGGCAAGAACCACCAGAGAACAGTCCAAACAGAGCTGAATGGTAGAGTACCTAGTGACCCAAACCCTCCGAAGCGCAAACCAGACAGCCATGAACACCTGAACCGGGCTGTGAGCCCGACGGACAGACAGACTCCATCAACCTCGGCCGACCTGGTGAGCACTGGTCACAAAGCCCCAGCCGAGAGACGACCCGTCCGTGAACACATCGAGCGAAGGCTCGGGGAGCCGCCAAGGCACGGAACCCCGAAAACCCCAAAGAGGAAGCTGGTGACGCAGCACCAACACCAGATCCCCAGAGGAACCCAAGGAATGCAAGAGGCGGAAGTGGAGTCTCCGTAGGAACCAACCGACGCCGGAGCCAAACCCGACTCCGCGGGCAGACAAGCACGCCGAAGTGCAAACTCCCGCACAACCGCCCAAGCAACCGCTGAGCAACCCGGGACCCCCTCCTGAACAGC